ATTGCCAACAAGGGTTTTGCCACCAAGTACTAAGTCATGTTTTGCAGAGGGGTCAAATACTTATTTCCCTCATTAAAATGCAAATCAATTGATAACATTTTTGACATGCGTTTTTGTGGATTTTGTTGTTGTTATTCTGTCTCTCACTGTTCAAATAAACCTACCATTAAAATGATAGACTGATCATGTCTTTGTCAGTGGGCAAACTTACAAAATCAGCAGCGGATCAAATACTTTTTTCCCTCACTGTATCCAAAGTGCTTGCTTAATTGTCTCAATTTTTGCCTGGCAAAAACAGAGTTTCCTATGTTCATATTATCCAAATAAAATACAGTTTAGCAATCTGCCGAGGACACATATTTCCCAGAACAATAGGCTACCTGGTGATCTCATTGATAATTTTCATAGTTCAGATATGCCTAGTTTGGGTGGGTTAATTATATACCTCAGTGGTGGGTACTGGCTATATGTCTAAAGATAGCTGTAACATCGCACTGCCGTTAATACTTATGGGATGACGATGTAACATATTCTGGCGAAATAATTAAGATATTTGTGAGGAAGAAAAAGGCTACAGACAGACCATGCTTTCCATCTAATCCTGCCTGCTCTGGACTCCAGAGAATCTAGTTGATATTGAATGCTAACCAGTGTTGTAGTATTCGAGAGTCCGGTCTTGAGACCACATATTGAGTGTCTCAGTCTTGTCTCGGTGTCGGATACATTTGTACTCCTCGGACAGTGAGGACTCATAATTTCTTCCCGAGACCAGCAGAGTAAAAAAACTCATAGTTATCAGCTTCCATTCAGCCAGCGCATAAAACCGCTTCGCCAGACCAAATATATACACTCCTTTCTTGAAACATGAATATCTTAACAGCCTTATCTATTATAGACATGTTTGCGCAATGGCGAACTTATAGGCCTTCAGTGTGTGACAGGTTCGTGATTCTGAAAGGACAGCAACGATAATACCAGCGCACTCATGTAGGAGAGTGCACTTTTTGTAAAACACAAAGGGCCAGTGGTGTAGTGGAGGCTATACACAAGTTTATAAACTGGGTGGTTCGAGCCCTGAATGCTGATTGGCTGACAGCCATGGTACCACGGGTATGACAACACATTTATTTTTACTGCTCTAAATACATTGGTAACCAGTTTATAATAGCAATAAGGCACCTCGGGGGGTTGTGTTATATGGCCAATATACCACGGCTAAGGGCAGTATCCAGGCACTCTGCGTTGCGTCACGCTTAAGAATGCTGATTGGTTAAAACCGCATTCCAGCCGGTGTCTATTCCACAAGTTACCACCAGCTACATCTATTACTTTAAAATGCCTATTTACTCTGTTCCATCTGACTGCGCAATCTACTGTCTCATCAGCCCAGCCAGGCAATTTATAAACTTGATCTCCACTATAAAAAGCGTGTAGACATTATCTCACATTTCTTTTTGACTAACATTTAGTTTTCAACAGTGGAGATTTGTATAAACCTCGCTGTCTGTCTCTACGACATTTGCAACATTGTTTCAATATTCAAATTCGATCTCCAGCTGTCCCATAGTAATGAGGGTGTCGGAACGAGACAGACATGCAGTGCAGCTAGTTTTCAGTCTTTCCAGCGTCAGTTTCAAGTGATTGTGTTAGCTGTGTTGTTGGCTAGCTCCTCTGAACAATAGTGTCCTGACAAGTGAGCACATTTTCTATGCCAGGTGAAATCGCACCTCATTAGCTCATTGTTATGGATGCATCCAAATAAATGTCACTACAAAACAGCTTAAAATAATGGAAATGCAGCCACTTTTCTGTTATACTTTTTTGATGTGATTGCAAGTTAGCTGTAGTTGGCTAGCTAGCAAGCAATGGATAAGAACGTTGCCAGCCAGTATGGCAATGGAACATTTAGAACAAACGACTGGGTAGGGTCCATAGATACAGAACAAAAAGACTGAACGACTGGGTCGCGTCTCTGGCAACCGAACCGATAGAACGAACGACCAGCCGGCTTGCGTAGCAACCCTAGATTTGTATCAGGACTATATCTTGTGGAAGGATGAGATAGTATGAATAAATTAATAAAAATAATGTTTTTTATGAAAATATGTAAATCATTATTTGAATATGTTGTTAACCTGTTGTATAAAAGTGATAATGCCCTCGAAGCTGGTGTTTGGAGGATATATTGGCACAGTTTGCCGGACCTCGACTTTGTCTCGGGCCTAACAACACCCGTGCCAATATATCCTCCAAACACTGGCTTCTCTGCATTATCACTTAAATAAACCGTATATGCACTTTCTTTTCAGTGGGCATTGCATATACTCACTTCTTAATCCCTATTGATGTGTATCAAAGTAGTGTAGTGGAGGTATACAACTTATCAATTATGTAGTACAATAGAAAAACCATGCACAAAGTAGCCTACACAATCGCAAAACATGTCCCCTGTAGCTCAGTTGGTAGAGCATGGCGCTTGCAACGCCAGGGTTGTGGGTTCGTTTCCCACGGGGGGCCAGTATGAAAACGTATGCACTCACTAACTGTAAGTCGCTCTGGATAAGAGCGTCTGCTAAATGACTAAAATGTGAAATATATTCACATGCGCGCCGCACTCATAGCCTTGTTTCAACACAATATCATCTGCAGGCAGCTCTAAACTGGTTTTGGCATGGAGCAGGTCACAGAAGAATGACATCGGTAGCCGGTAGGGTAGGAAAGACGTTTCAACTTATGATATCTACCAGTAAATGCTAACTAAGGCAACAATGGGTATGCAAACCAGGTATTGAAAAAGTTTAGTCTGAGGTGTTGGTTAGTAGGCTATTTGTGTTGCAATTGTCATCATGTGCCGTTTTCATCAGGGAAGTAGACATGGATGACACAGGCCCACCCACTGGGGAGCCAGGCCCGGCAGGCCCACCCAATCAGATTGATGTGGTTTAAGCATTGTTGTGGACATAGACCATCACATTTTTTATTTATTTTTCTGATTTTAAGAGTGAAAATCTGAAGAATCTATAGGAAAACATAGCATTTTTCACACAGGGTACCTTTCCTTCACTGGGTGGGCTGTTTGGGAACTTTTTGGCAAACTTAGAGTATACCCACTTCAACAAATAACCCTGATTGGATCTTTTTTTCTTTTCAGTTTTAACCCTTTGCTTTCCAACAAAAACTGAATAGATTAAATCAGAACATCATTGAAAATAATATTATTATAATTATTATTTTATAAATCCTTAGCCCTTCTCTGAAGGCGTATAGGCCCATTGTTCCCCACTGTGTTTGGGTTAGTAATAATTTGTAGGGTGGCTCTATTTTCCCTCAGCATGCATTTTTTCACTATTCTGAATGTCTACAGAATCCTTATGTTGTTCTGAAATATGAACACAGAAATACTGGACATTTTGAACTCTTATTATGGTGGTGATTTGAATTGAAGTCACATTTTTCTGGTCTCGGTCTTGGACCCCTTGTCCCCCTCCCGGTGTAGGTCTTGACTCGGTCTCGTCCCCCCTCCGATTTGCTCCGGTCTTCGTCTCGAACACTGCTGCTAACATGAATGACTTTCAGCTCAAAATGCAGGTCTAAAACAGTTTATTTCTGTATTTTGAAAATGCATCACCGTTAATGGCTGTAATGACAGGCTACATTTGCGCACTGATTGTGCGCGCGTGCATGTACGTGCACAGGGGGTCGCTAACTTTGAAACACTTTTTGGGGGTCGCGGGTCAAAAAGTTTGAGGACCACTGAGCTATCTAACAGATTTTTGATTTGCTGTAGAGCTAGCTATTGGATCGGGAGGCAGCACAAATGTCAAATTGTAGGGGGAGAGGATTGACATAAATAAATATGCAGCACCAAAAATTGTTTGATCAAGAATATTAACTGTTTACTTTGCAAGCTCACCAGCAATGGGACATCAAGCAACAATTACTAGCATAGGCCTACTGGTCTTTTGGTATGTCAAAATTGCTTGAAATGTATAATATACTTATGAAGCTTGCATTTTGAATTAGTTGTTGAAATTAATTATGATTTGTATCAATAAGTAGACACAGATTTGTATCAATAAGTAGACACAGATTTGTGTCAATAAGTAGACACAGATTTGTAGTTGAACAAGTCATTGCATGTGTAGATTTTTTTTACTTGACTTGAGACTTCACTTGAAAAAACTTGTGACTCTACTGTACTTTTTCTTAGAATGCAGAACTTGGACTTGACTCGCCAAGTTCTACTTGGGAGTCGTATTGAGACTTGATCCTTGTGGCTTAAGACTTGCTTGTTACTCGAATAATAGTGACTTGGTCCAAACTCTGCTAAACCAGTACAGCCCATCTTGGCTCAAATTGTCTTGGCTCAGTGGTGTGAAAAGGGAGGCTTAGTTCTGAACTTCAAAGATAGTGCTTTATTTGTATCTACATGGTAGAAGTAATAACATTTATCTCATATTGAATGTTATGGGGCAATGCATGCTGGGCTAATCTACAGACTATGTAGTAAGGGAGTGGCTGGCCTGAAAAATATACGGGGACAGATATGAGATGAGGGGAGCTTCAGGGCCTTGTCCAATTCAAAGCGGGTACAATTCCAATGAACCTGTATAGGCCTTTTCCCAGTTATTACCCCTTTTCCCAGTTATTACCAATATCTAATTATCACACAGAGACAGTTATTATAGCAGGCATAAAGAGTTTAAAAAACGACTTTACCATATTTACAAAAAAGGGATGCAGTGCATTCACAGCCTTTCTATTTTCTATTTGGTTGAAATAAATAAAGGTTCTCTGGCGCCATCTTCTGGAGAGGTGCATCCACTACAAAGGTGCATCCACTTCCGTTTTTCAGCGAACAAGGAAGGACGTGTACAGAAATGAATGATGCTGAGGACACCGACGCAGCATCCACCTGACCCTATGTGTTGAGTTTTTTTGTGTAATTTAGTTGCCTTTTTTGGACATTTCACTACAAAAGCAACCGTGCGGCTGTAACAATGTCGATGTCAACATTTCAAAAGGTTACGCTCGTGTCTTGTCTCGTGCTCTGCGTTGCTCTTCTGCTTCCGAAAATGCTGCTAGGCGGAGGAAAGAAGGGTGCACAGACCGAGGGTAAGGTTTACGCTCTAAAAATGATAAATATCTTTATTATTCTAGCTAACTATTATAGATTCGTGCGTAGGCTTACCTTTCCTTGCATTTAACACAATTTATTTTTACTGCACATTGTCGTTTATTTCTGGTTTATCTTTGAAAAATACCAGCTACATCCCTACAGAGGGCGCTATCATTACCGTGGACGAGTGGTGGGTCAGCTGTTTGTTCACCCGCACCCGACCGCATCCGCAAATATAGAACATGCGCTACAGGCTACAGTCAAAGACAGCGGAACGATTTTTAACTGGGTGCAGGATTTTTTTTGCCTGATTTAGATATGTTTCTGCTTATAATTTCCAACATTTTGGTAGGGAATTTGTTAGTCAACTTGTCTATAATTAGATAGCATACATGCAGCTTCTCTTCTGTAATTATATGTTGCCCTAGAAGACTAAATAAACTCTTGCTCAACAGAATAATGTCATAAATCAATAGAATGAACGCTTCAATCTAGTTGACATTGGTAAAGTGTTCTCTGTCATCTTCTTTCACGGAGCAAAGACGTTTAGGGACCGGGGAGAAAATGCAATAACTCTGGAAAAGTTTTTCTGTGCAACATTTCCAAATTACATCAGTTTGACCAGTTGTAAGGAAATAGAAACATTTGGCGATTGGCGTGTAGGCTATTTGGCTCATGTACAGTTCAGCCCTAAAGTTTAGGCGTATGCACCAATGCCAGATAGCCTAAAATAATGAAAGAAAAACCTAAATGTAGCCTATAGATAAAAAGTGCACAAGAATGATACATTTATGGATTTTTTATGGTATTGTCTCTTTATTCAACCCGCCCGCCACCCACCGCCCTTCATCCACACAATATTTAATGACCCTAAACCCGTCCACCCCGCATTAGCAACAGCAGGGCTACCAACTCACCGTCGTCCAGTGTATCCATTGTGTTAATTCCAGTATATCACAGTATCGGGTTCATCTACCTCATTTGCTGTGCAGGTTCAGGACGGTTTCCTCCCATGGTGCACCGGCAGATGGCTCCGGACAGTCAGGGCCAGAGGGCTGCTGGGTCCACCAGGGCACACAACACCGAAGCTATCACCAGGGCTAAGGGGGGTGGGGGCACAGGGGTAGGGACCGGGGGCAAGTCCAATCTGGCAGGGCAGATCATCCCCATCTACGGCTTTGGGATCCTCCTTTACATCCTCTACATCCTGTTTAAGGTGCGATGTTGTGGGGTTGACATAGGATACATATATACATACACACACAAACACACACACACAATAGGGATGAGCATTTGAAAGAATGTGTGTTCCAGTACTCTCATGAAAATGAGTACTCGCATGTTAGCGTTTTAAATGTGCAACGGGGCTGAAGGCAAAAAGTTTGCATGCAAAAATTTATCGGATACAAACCTTGAATCAAGTACTCTGGCCAAGCCCTAACGTGCACATACTAGGAAGACACGCATGCACACACAGTCCATTGTATCCTATTCTCACAGAAACGGTCCAAATCGGATGCCCATTTATGATCTGTGTGTTGTATGTTCAAAAGACACAAGGTTTAAATCCTTAAATCCTATTGTGTTGAAGATAATGTTTTTTTTTCTCTTCTCCAAAGATAACCTCAAAGGGGAAGAGTGCTGTACCAACTGAGCCCAGATTTCCCTCAGTGAGAGCAGAGAACCGGAAGAGAAAGATCAGTGAGTTAAACTGTAATCTCACAATTCTTAAATCATTCCTCTTCAAGAATCAGTCAGATTGATAATTCTATACAAAGAAACAGCAACAGTAATTTTAATAGTTTCTCTCAAAAACATACAATCAAATAGCTTAGCTTCACTTCAGACAATGCCAACCTGAAAAGTCTTAACCGACCCTCTCTCCTCCTCTCGCTCTCCCTCTCCCTAGCGGACTTTGAGCTGACTCAGCTACAGGATAAGCTGAGGGAGACCGAGATGGTGATGGAGAGGATTGTGTCCAAAGCCAGCTACAGTCCTGAAAGGTTTGTTGTTTACCTGGCCGAAGTCTTGCTCCTCCTCGAACCTCTCTCATTTGTTCTCCCTTCAGTCTCTCTTTGTATACCAAAGAACACACAGTTGAAGTCGGAAGTTTACATACACTTAGGTTGGAGTCATTCAAACTCATTTTTCAACCACTCCACACATTTCTTGTTAACAAACTATAGTTTTGGCAAGTTGGTTAGGACATCTACTTTGTGCATGACACAAGTAATTTTTCCAACAATTGTTTACAGACAGATTATTTCACTTATAATTCACTGTATCACAATTCCAGTGGGTCAGAAGTTTACATACACTAAGTTGACTGTGCCTTTAAACAGCTTGGAAAATTCCAGAAAATGTCATGGCTTTAGAAGCTTCTGATATGCTAATTGACATAATTTGAGTCAATTGGAGGTGTACCTGTAGATGTATTTCAAGGCCTACCTTCAAACTCAGTGCCTCTTTGCTTGACATCATGGGAAAATCAAAAGAAATCAGCCAAGACCTCCACAAGTCTGGGTCATCCTTGGGAGCAATTTCCAAACACCTGAAGGTACCACGTTCATCTGTACAAACAATATGCAAGCATAAACACCATGGGACCACGCAGCCGTCATACCGCTCAGGAAGGAGACGCGTTCTGTCTCCTAGAGATGAACATACTTTGGTGTGAAAAGTGCAAATCAATCCCAGAACAACAGCAAAGGACCTTGTGAAGATGCTGGAGGAAACAGGTACAAAAATATCTATATCCACAGTAAAAGGAGTCCTATATCGACATAACCTGAAAGGCCGCTCAGCAAGGAAGAAGCCACTGCTCCAAAACCGCCAAAAAAAAGACAGACTACGGTTTGCAACTGCACATGGGGACAAAGATCATACTTTTTAGAGAAATATCTTCTGGTCTGATGAAACAAAAATAGAACTGTTTGGCCATAATGACCATCGTTATGTTTGGAGGAAAAAGGGAGTTGCTTGCAAGCCGAAAAACACCATCCCAACCGTGAAGCACGGGGCTGGCAGCATCATGCTGTGGGGGTGCTTTGCTGCAGGAGGGACTGGTGCACTTCACAAAATAGATGGCATCATGAGGAAGGAAAATTATGTGGATATATTGAAGCAACATCTCAAGACATCAGTCAGGAAGTTAAAGCTTGGTCGCAATTGGGTCTTCCAAATGGACAATGACCCCAAGCATACTTCCAAAGTTGTGGCGAAATGGCTTAAGGACAACAAAGTCAAGGAATTGGAGTGGCCATCACAAAGCCCTGACCTCAATCCTATAGAAAATGTGTGGGCAGAAATGAAAAAGCGTGTGCGAGCAAGGAGGCCTACAAACGTGACTCAGTTACACCAGCTCTGTCAGGAGGAATGGGCCAAAATTCACCCAACTTATTGTGGAAGGCTACCCGAAACATTTGACCCAAATTAAACAATTTAAAGGCAATGCTACCAAATACTAATTGAGTGTATGTAAACTTCTGACCCACTGGGAATGTGATGAAAGAAATAAAAGCTGAAATAAATAATTCTCTCTACTATTATTCTGACATTTCACATTCTTAAAGTGGTGATCCTAACTGACCTAAGACAGGGAATTTTTACTAGGATTAAATGTCAGGAATTGTGAAAAACTGAGTTTAAATGTATTTGGCTAAGGTGTATGTAAACTTCCGACTTCAACATGTAACTTTAAAAAAAAATCTGGGTCGCTTTCTTTTCCCACCTTACACCCTTTCTGCTGGCCAATGTGTATATATATTTATATATATATATACAGTGAGGGAAAAAAGTATTTGATCCCCTGCTGATTTTGTACGTTTGCCCACTGACAAAGAAATTATCAGTCTATAATTTTAAAGTTCATTGGCAAACTTCAGACGGGCCTGTATATGTGCTTTCTTGAGCAGGGGGACCTTGCGGGCGCTGCAGGATTTCAGTCCTTCACGGCGTAGTGTGTTACCAATTATTTTCTTGGTGACTATGGTCCCAGCTGACTTGAGATCATTGACAAGATCCTCCTGTGTAGTTCTGGGCTGATTCCTCACTCTTCTCATGATCATTGCAACTCCACGAGGTGAGATCTTGCATGGAGCCCCAGGCCGATGGAGATTGACAGTTATTTTGTGTTTCTTCCATTTGCGAATAATCGCACCAACTGTTGTCATCTTCTCACCAAGCTGCTTGGCGATGGTCTTGTAGCCCATTCAAGCCTTGTGTAGGTCTACAATCTTGTCCCTGACATCCTTGGAGAGCTCTTTGGTCTTGGCCATGGTGGAGAGTTTGGAATCTGATTGATTGATTGCTTCTGTGGACAGGTGTCTTTTATACAGGTAACAAGCTGAGATTAGGAGCACTCCCTTTTAGAGTGTGCTCCTAATCTCAGCTCGTTACCTGTATAAAAGACACCTGGGAGCCAGAAATCTTTCTGATTGAGAGGGGGTCAAATACTTATTTCCCTCATTAAAATGCAAATCAATTTATAACATTTTTGACATGCGTTTTTGTGGATTTTGTTGTTGTTATTCTGTCTCTCACTGTTCAAATAAACCTACCATTAAAATTATAGACTGATCATTTCTTTGTCAGTGGGCAAACGTACAAAATCAGCAGGGGATCAAATACTTTTTTCCCTCACTGTATATATATATATATATATACATACACTGCTAAAAAAAATAAAGGGAACACTTAAACAACAATGTAACTCCAAGTCAATCACACTTCTGTGAAATCAAACTGTCCACTTAGGAAGCAACACTGATTGACAATACATTTCACATGCTGTTGTGCAAATGGAATAGACAACAGGTGGAAATTATAGGCAATTAGCAAGACACCCCCAATAAAGGACTGGTTTTGCAGGTGGTGACCACAGACCACTTCTCAGTTCCTATGCTTCCTGGCTGATGTTTTGGTGACTTTTGAATTCTGGCGGTGCTTTCACTCTAGTGGTAGCATGAGACGGAGTCTACAACCCACACAAGTGGCTCAGGTAGTGCAGCTCATCCAGGATGACACATCAATGCGAGCTGTGGCAAGAAGGTTTGCTGTGTCTGTCAGCGTAGTGTCCAGAGCATTGGCGGTGGGTTAGTCATGGTGTGGGGTGGCATTTCTTTGGGGGGCCGCACAGCCCTCCATGTGCTCGCCAGAGGTAGCCTGACTGCCATTAGGTACCGAGATGAGATCCTCAGACCCCTTGTGAGACCATATGCTGGTGCGGTTGGCCCTGGGTTCCTCCTAATGCAAGACAATGCTAGACCTCATGTGGCTGGAGTGTGTCAGCAGTTCCTGCAAGAGGAAGGCATTGATGCTATGGACTGGCCCGCCCGTTCCCCAGACCTGAATCCAATTGAGCACATCTGGGACATCATGTCTCGCTCCATCCACCAACGCCACGTTGCACCACAGACTGTCCAGGAGTTGGCAGATGCTTTAGTCCAGGTCTGGGAGGAGATCCCTCAGGAGACCATCCGCCACCTCATCAGGAGCATGCCCAGGCGTTGTAGGGTGGTCATACAGGCACGTGGAGGCCACAAACACTACTGAGCCTCATTTTGACTTGTTTTAAGGACATTACATCAAAGTTGGATCAGCCTGTAGTGTGGTTTTCCACTTTAATTTTGAGGGTGACTCCAAATCCAGACCTCCATGGGTTGATAAATTTGATTTCCATTGATAATTTTTGTGTGATTTATTTCATTCATTCAGATCTAGGATGTGTTATTTTAGTGTTCCCTTTATTTTTTTGAGCAGTGTATATAAATTATATACATATATATTTTTTTTGGTGGTCTGTTTTTCTCTTAGGATTTTGGAAATTCTCCCATGACCCCATTTTCATCAGGCACGACCCCTAGTTTGGGAATCGCTACCCTAAGCATACTGACCTATGGTGTGTGCTGCTCTCTCTGCAGGGTGACAGGGGTGAGTGCCGACCAGGAGGAGAGACTGCTTCTCCAGCTGAGAGAGATCACGCGGGTGATGCAGGAGGGCCGCCTGGTGGAGGGGGTCGCCCCCGCAGAGATGGGGGCCCAACACTATGAAGGTACACTGGGATTTAACCCCTTTCTGTGCCTTTTTCCTGTACCCCACCATACCAATATGGGAATTCTTTCTAAACAACACTTCAATTGTGCTTCTTTAAAATGGTCTTAAAAGTCTCTTTTATGACATCATTCAAGACATACATGTCATCCACATTCAACAATATGGAGATATACAAGGTTCTGGTGTAACATACAGTAGGGTTTAGTGCCTCTGAGGGCTGGATGGAAACGTAATACTATACTGTTTATGTATCCATTGTTGAATTAGGTTTCCCTGAGGATCCCCATCCATGCTGGGAAGAGCCCTTCTGTGGATACGACAATACCCAGGCGACCAGCACCGAGGAGCAGCCAGAGAGGACCGACGAGTGTGGGGCTGACCAGAAGGAGAGTGGGGCTTACCAGGAGAAGGGTGGGGCTTACCAGGAGGCGGGTAGGGCTGACCAGGAACGCTGGGCTGACCAGGATAAGGGTGGGTCTGACCAGGAAGAGGGTGTGGCAAATGAGGAGGAGAGTGGGGTTGACCAGGAAGAGGGCAGGGCTGACCAGAAGGAGGGTGCGGCTGAGGATGATGTAGGTGTAGCTGAGGCAGGGGCTGATTTGAATACTGATGATGAGGGAGGTGCTGATTTGGCCACTGGGAATGAGGAAGGTGGGGCTAAGTGTGATGTGGGTGGGACTGAGGTGGAGAAAGAAGTAATGTACAGTGAGGAGGGTGGGGCCAATGACAAGCTAGGTGTGGCTGATAAAGACAGGGGCGGTGCAGAGGAGGAGCTTGAGTTTACACTGAAGATGTCCGTGTTGGAGCGAGAGGAAAAGGACAGTGTTAACCTGTCAACTAGCCGTTTTCGCGTTAGAAGGAAAAGGAACAAGAAGCAGAAGAAATGACCAAAAGGAAACAAAATTAATTGACTTCCTTAAATTCCTTCCCATACTTCGGAAAGAGGAGTGCGCCCTACAAACTTGTGTCTGGCTATGCCTGTCTAGCAACATTTCTTCCTAGCCTCCAACGCTTCCAAACAGGATGGGCCGTAGCATGAAGGTTGGCAGTTATCCAGTCTGTAAAAGAGTAGAGGAGCAAAAAGCTCCACCCAAGAAAGATAGTATCCCTTCCTCTCTTGCTAAGTGACAGTCTGAAGCAGAAGTCATACCCACAGTATTGTACCAGTGCCTGGTTCAGATGTCCACTGTCGCATAATAGCTTTGGCACAATGTGCATTACAGTAAACTGAATGATTTGGATTGCACTGTGCTCCTACTGTCACACTGTCTTTATTCACATCTGGGCTTGAGAGGATGCTTTTTGTCCTCTTAGTGCAATAAACCGTAATTAGAATAAATGGGATTGATCTTATTTCATGGCTATAATGCAACAAGTTATTGAAAAAGCATTCACTTTTATACACTATTTATTCACTATATACACACCTGTATGTAAGTGTTACAAAACTGCTGTGGAATCTCACAAATAAAACACTGGTTTGACAACAACCTTGTCTCAAGTATGTGACAAAAACAACACGAATGGCAGCTATCTGAGAAAAATGTTTATTACTTATAGAATTGAACATTCTACCAATAGAAAAGCAACATCCAATGTTATTAGCGGAAAGCGTACAATTAACTTATTTTCATTGAGTGTCACAGCACAGAATTGCCCCATGGCAGTTCAGGGAGTGGTGCTGAGCTGGATTTGGTTTCTGGCCACCGCAGTGTGACAAAGTGTGTCATCATTCTGCATCCTCAGTCTCAGATATCCATTGGCTCATCCGGTTTGTCTGCTGCAGGCTCATCTGCAGCCTCGATTACCTAGGACACACAGGAGGACAGACAGAGCAGTGACCTGCTGTTAAAGCTCCTGAACGGTCATTCTGATTGCCATGTAAAATAGCCTTTTGAGTGACTAAAACATCACCCATAATATTTTTTTCTGCATGTTCTTTGAAAACGCCTATGTCAAGCAACATGGACGCAGTGAGCAGTGTTGCAGTGATATTATCTCAAGCAAATTTGCTGATACACAAAGCAACTCAAACATTTAAATTGCAAACAACATCCAATCCTGTCATACACCACATCAGGGTTTCACTACTGATTTGTTTATCCAACTGTTTGGTTATTGTAACAGTATCAATAGACAAAATGTTGGCTGTATAATTTAGCTAGCAAACCCAAATGGAATTGGCAGCACTGTTTATCAAGCTAGCTAGTTCATCTTGGACAATTTCAGGGTGAAGTCTGGGTACTTTTCATTAAATATATACACACAGTCAGTGGCCAGTGTATTAGGCACACCACCCGGTTCATGAAAATGGTTCCCTCCTACAGACAGTGAGTCACATGGCCGTGGCTTGCTATATAAAGCAGGCATCGAGGCATTCAGTTACTGTTTAACTGAACGTTAGAATGGGCAAAACGAATGACCTAAGCGACCGAGTGTGGTATGATTGTCGGTGCAAGGCGTGCCAGTTCCAGTATCTCAGAAACGGCCAGCCTCCTAGGGTTTATCAAGAATGGTGCGACAAACAAAACATCCTGTCAGCAGCAGTCCTGTGGCCGAAAACAGCTCATTGATGAGAGAGGTCGAAGGAGAATGGCAAGAATCGTAAAGCTAACAGGCAAATAACGGCGCAGTAGAACTGGTGTGCAGAACGGCATCTCGGAACGCACAACTAGTCGGTCCTTGTCACAGATGGGCTATTGCAGCAGACGACCACACCAGGTTCCACTCCTATCTGCTAAAAACAAGAAGTGGCTCCAGTGGGCACGCGATCACCAACACTGGACAATTGAGGAGTGGAAAAACATTGCCTGGTCTGACGAATCCCGGTTCCTGTTGCGTCATGCTGATGGTAGAGTCAGGATTTGGCGTAAGCAGCATGAGTCCATGGCCCCATCCTGCCTGGTGTCAACGGTACAGGCTGGTGGCGGTGGTGTAATGGTGTGGGGAATGTTTTCCTGGCAAACATTAGGTCCCTTGATACCAATTGAGCAACGTTTGTACGCCACAGCGTTTCTTAAAATTGTTGCTGACCAGGTACATCCCTTCATGGCTACAGGGGGGTCCGGCGCAGTACTAGATGGGTGAACCTAATAAACTGGCCACAGTCACTGTCAGACAACGTTCATATATCATGACTGTCAAGAAGTTTGTATGAATTTTCCATTTGGCATGTCTCTTGATGTAATGACATGACAAATGCATCAGTGTTTTAGGCAACCCTTCCCCCGCTTTTGTTCAATTCTGGCTGAAGACCTAGCTAGCCAGTTACTAGCTAACACCAGACAGATGAAAGCGGAAACCTTAGATGAATAGGGAAAACCTGTAATTATATTTACTGACACACTGCAGTCAAACCACACCCCTCTGCGAACACGCCTTCTGCGATGTTGGTTACAAGGTGGTACTTATTTAAATTAGGTAAGAGAAGACGTTACCATTGGTGTATTAAAATTATACTTTTTGTGATGTCATGAAAAACCCTTAATAATCCTGCCTCCATCCCGCCTGAATCCCGCTGTCTCAAAAGAGGGAGGGTATTTCTGACATAGCGAACCAGTGACACCTCGAGCTGGCTACGAACTAGCAGGAGTTGACGACAGCTGTGTTTACTGAGAGAGGCATCGAGCAAGAAGACAATGGTGGAAGTGGAGATGGAGCTTGAATCGGTTGGTGGTGGAAATGAAGAATGGACTTTAGTCCAAAGAAATGGACAAATAAGCTAAATTGACGTGAGAAAGGAAATGGCTAGTGTTCATAATTCCCCATGGTATCTGGTAGGTGTACGTTTTCTGGGATTATGTACTCCCGATTTGGTGAATCCATTGAAGACATCCAAAGTGGTGGAGAATGCTTTGGGTAAAGTAAAATCTGTGAAAAATCACGAGAAGTGGGCAGGTTAAATTTAGTGTGTGTCTGAGGTGTTGGAACTCACTAAATTTGGACATTATGATATGTCGTGCTTTGAGCTACAGAGCAGGGCACCTATTAAAGGAGTAATTTCGGGAGTTTCGGAAGAAGTTGACATTGATATACTAAAGAAAATTCCTGGAGTGGTAGACGTATGCTGGTTGAATTGTGTGGTTAAATGGCAAGGAGAAGAGTTTGTCTGTCCTTGTGTTTTTTTGATGTGGAGTCCCTCCCGACCCGAGTGCAGCTGACACAGATGAAAGTGGAAAACTATAAGCAGGGTTGGGGAGTGACGGATTACAAAACAACTAACTTAATCAATCAGTTACCAGCAAAAATATTATAATGAGATTACAGATACTTTTGAACAACTAGATTACATCTAGGATTACTTTTAAATTCAGAAAGGATGTTTGCAAAAACATTGACACCTTTGTTTTCTCAATTACAATCAAATCAGCATTGAAAAAAGGAGCAAGTTTAAGTTTGTTCCGTCTGAGCAAGTCTGACCACAAGTCAGAAACCACTATGATGACACACCAAACACACGTTTGATGGATCGTGGGAAAAGAGCAGGAATAGGCTTTTGTAGGATACAGTCCAATAGTGTGCAAAGGGTGGCTATTTGAAGAATCTCCAATATAAAATATATTCTGATTTGTTTAACACTTTTTTGGTTACTACATGATTCCATATGAGTTATTTCATAGTTTTGATGTCTTCACTATTATTCTACAATGTAGAAAATAGTAAAAATAAAGAAAAACCCTTGAATGAGTAGGTGTGTCAACTTTTGACTGGTACTGTAGATTTTTTAGCAAGCTAGCTTCATACTTTTTTCTGACATAGCGAAAATACAGCTTTGTTGATTAAAGTTGACACTTCGCGGCCACCAGAGTTTGACATGTGACTACAGTTTGCATTGAATTGTGAGTCATATCAACCCCGCAAGTGGCCAAAGTTGTTCACTCGCTCCCTCGAGCTAAATCGAGGGCCGAAGGATCAACGTTAGTGAATTGGACCTCCACTTAAGACAGCAATCAAACTGCATCTGGTTTCGATGGTTATTCCCCCTGAGGGAAAGTGGCTAGCGCAAGGGCTGAGGGGGTAAAAATAACGTGTTTGGACTGCAGCCAGTCAAGCAGTGGACACTATTTCCGTGCTTTTAGGGCCCATAATGCAATTCTTCAGAAAATGGGCGTGGCTTCACAACGTTTTCAGATTTGAAGAAAATTGCGGAAAATATGCAGCCGAAGTCCAACGACAGCAGATAAAAATTAATTGCTTTAACTAATGACAAATGTTAAGAAAATGTTGAGCAATGTAATAAAGTAATGACTTTTCAAATAAGTTATCATCCACGTTATGTTGGCTGACAATTTCTTAGCTACGCTATCCTTATTAACAGCATAGCATATCATTACAACAGTATGTACTGGTATGTTAGCTAGCTACCTAACGTTACTTGGCTACTAATACATCGAACCTACCAGTATATTAACTATATGCTATCTAACTAACTACCCAACTTTTATTGACTTGATTATTCCCGTCATTCTTACTTTAGCTAAGTGGTATAGTCGTTGTGCGTTCTCAAATGGACATTTGGGTGCGTTCGTAAATTCGCTCTGGCTATCTACTCCGATTTCAGAGCACTCTCGTCTGAGTGTACCTGTGCCAGAGCGCAGAATAACTGATGAATTTACGAACACTCAACACCAGTTGAATATGGCCGGTTTCGGTAAACGTCGGCAAAAAAGCGTAGTTAAATTGTTGCCAGCAGCACAGTTAGTCACCAACGCTCCGGATAACCAGCTCTGCTAGGGCGAGTAAAATGGTCAGAGTGAGTTGTTCTATCATTTGTGTCTGGATGTAGCTAGCAAGGTAGCCAGTTAGCTTGGGTGCTTGACTGCCGTTGTGAGGTCAGAACGCTCGGATCAGCCCTACTCCTCGGCCAGAGCGTCCAGTGACACTGCCTGGCAGTGTGCGGTCTGAACGCTCAGAGCGAAACGCTCTGAATTTACAAACACACAATCTTACAACGCTCTGAATTTACGAACGCCCAGAGCGCACTCTGGCACTCCAGATTGATTTTAATAACACACCCGAAGTCGTAAAAATGTCTAGCTAGTAATTTGTTATGCTAACAAGCTAGCAAGAAGTTGCATAGCAACAGCTTCAACCTCCGGTAGACAGGCGAAGCGCTAGTACGCTCAACTGAATGGATACCGTTTGTTTACAGTATACTAAAATGAACTAATAGTATATACTCATTAAGTATGTAGTATACAGTATGTTAGTATGCGTATTCGAACACAAATTTGGTATTTTGGTGTTCGACAGGGATCAAGTCCGGGCTCTGGCTGGGCCACTCAAGGACATTCAGAGACTTGTCCCGAAGCCACTCCTGCGTTGTCTTGGCTGTGTGCTTAGGGTCGTTGTCCTGTTTGAAGGTGAACCTTTGCCCCAGTCTGAGGTCCTGAGCGCTCTGTGGAGGTTTTCATCAAGGATCTCTCTGTACTTTGCTCTGTTCATCTTTCCCTCGAACCTGACTAGTCTCCCAGTCCCTGCCGCTGAAAAACATTCCCACAGCATGATTCTGCCACCACCATACTTCACCGTAGGGATGGTGCCAGGTTTCCTCCAGACATGACGCTTGGCATTCACGCCAAAGAGATCAATCTTGGTTTCATCAGACCAGAGAATCTTGTTTCTCATGGTCAGAGTCCTTTAGGTGCCTTTTGGCAAACTCCCAGCGAGCTGTCATGTGCCTTTTACTGAGGAGTGGCTTCTGTCTGGCCACTACCATGAAGGCCTGATTTGTGGAGTGCTGCAGGTTGTCCTTCTGAAAGGTTCTCCCATCTCCACAGAGGATTCTCTGGAGCTCTGTCAGAGTGACCATAGGGTTCTTATTTAAATTAGGTAAAAGAATAAGACGTTACCATTAGTGTATTAAAGTGAGGCTTAATAATCCCACTACCTGAATCCAAGTGTTTGGCATGGGGAGGGCACCAGTAACTTCATGATCAGTTTTACTTGACAACCAAAATGTTGACCGCGGCGCTATACAGGTTGCAAAATAGTTGGAAAGAGATTTGATGTGCTGATTCCTTGGCACATGGTTTATGAGCAGATACGCAAAACAACGCTTGATTCAAAACTTAAAGTTTTTCAATTTAAATAATAAAACATTACTGCCATAAACATATTGTTATGTATACTGAACAAAAATATAAAAACATGTAAAGCATTGGTCCCATATTTCATGAGCTGAAATAAAATATCCCATAAATGTTCCATACGCACAAAAAGCTTGTTTCTCTGAAATTGTGCACACATTTGTTTACATTCCTGTTAGTGAGCATTTCTCCTTTGCCAAGATAATCCATCTACCTGACAGGTGTGGCATATCAAGAAGCTGATTAAACAGCATGATCATTACACAGGTGCACCTTGTGCTGGGGACAATAAAAGGCTACTAAAAATGTGCAGTTTTGTCACACAACATGATGCCACAGATGTCTCAAGTTTTGAAGGAGCGTGCAATTGGCATGCTCACTGCAGGAATGTCCACCAGAGCTGTAGCCAGAGAATTTAATGTTTTTTTTTGTTGTCATTTAGCAGACGCTCTTATCCAGAGCGACTTACAGTTAGTGAGTGCATACATTATTTTTTCATACTGGCCCCACATAGGAATCGAACCCACAACCCTGGCGTTGCAAACGCCATGCTCTACCAACTGAGCTACATCCCTGCCGGCCATTCCCTCCCCTACCCTGGAAGACGCTAGGCCAATTGTGCGCCGCCCCATGGGTCTCCCGGTCGCGGCCGGCTAAGACAGAGCCTGGATTCGAACCATTTTAGAGAATTTGGCAGTATGTCCAACCAGCCTCCCAACTGTAGACCACGTGCAACCACACCAGCCCAGGACCTCCACATCCAGCTTCTTCACCTGCGGGATCGTCTGAGACCAGCCACCTGGACAGCTAATGAAACTGAGGAGTATTTATGTCTGTAATAAAGCCCTTGTGGGGAAAAACTCATTCTGATTGACTGGGCCTGGCTCCCCAGTGGGTGGGTCTATGCCCTCCCAGGCCCACCCATGGCTGCGCCCCTGCCCAGTCATGTGAAATCCATAGATTAGGGCCTAATTTATTTATTTCAATTGACTGATTTCCTTATATGAACTGTAACTCAGTCAAATCGTTATAATTGTTGCATGTTGCGTTTATATTTTTGTTCAGTATATTTGGGGCATACAACCATCTCTTCGTAGCAACATATGCAAAGCTGAGACAATCATTAGATCACTTATTTTGGTATTGCCCCCATGTAGCTTGTTTCTGGTCACAGGTTCAGGAATGGCTGAAAAATTACAACATTTATCTAAAATTAACCCTACAAATAGCACTGTTGGGAGATTTGGAAAACCATAGTCAATCAACAATATAATACTTTTAATACAAATATTTATCTTTAATTCACAATCTGCAGATACTATGCGATTAGACAGATTCAGAAATTATGTGAAAGACCACAGCACAGTTGAAAAATATATGGCACATGGAAATCATAAGAGGACGGTATGGACAGAGTAGCTGAGGGGTGGGTTTAAAAGCTGTTCTATAATAGTTTTGACTGAAACTTATACACTGTTTCTGTATAAGCACTTTGTGACAATTGCTGATCTAAAAAGGGCTTGATAAATACATTTGATTGATATGGTTTCATCCAAATATCATCAAATTTAATGAAAAACATGATTTTGACTGTTCGGGACCTTTAAGTGAAATTTGTGATGTCATGTTTGTTAACCATTCTATAATATTATTATAATCTCATCTACAAATATCTTTGAGGGTGCATTATCCCAGCCTGGATTCCAAATTAATTGTTCTGTTTCAGTGTGGATCCAGGCTAGCATTAATCCAACCACTTTCCACAGTAACTCCAAATCGACTCTTACCTTTCTCTGTGGCCTCTCCTCCAGACCCTCAAGGAAAGGACCCACGTCACCATCGTCGTAGATGGTGAACTCCATGTCTTTCCCCACAATGCCGATTGAGACATTCTGAAAGGCAGGGAGAGCTACTCAGTAAACGCCAGGGTCGTGTTCATTAGGCACCAAACAGACAAACAGGGAGGGACTCCATTTAATTTTTATGTTGCAAAATGTTTTAAAACATTTCTGTTAGGGGACCTAATGAACACAGCCCTGTACAGTGGGGAACATGAGGGCTACGACAGGTTGGTTGAGCCATTGAAGCTTACCTTAGTGGTGAGGTCCTGTTCAGCTGGGAGTGTTTCTCTGAGCCCAAGCAGACCATGCCTGACCAGCTCATTCAGATTACCTGAGTATAGACAATGCAATGGACAAAGGGATAAATGCACAGAGCATGTGCTGAGTTGTGTGTGTGTGTCTGTGTGTGTGAGTGAGATGTGCTACAGCGACCAAGCCTCAAACAGTATCTACTTTATAGTATGTGTCTGAGTAGACATACGTGTGCCCTCAGGTATGCATTTGTGTTTGTAATTGTGAAAACCACAAATACAGTGTGTGTGTGTGTGCATGCGCTCACAGTCCAGGAAGGTGTCCATGTGTCTCTCTAGGTATGTGCGGGCAGACTGGGAGCGGGCTCCAATGGACATGGCTTTGCAGTCAAAGTAGTTTGCAGAGGGGCAGGTCTGGAAGATATGAGGCCCCATGTCCTACAAGAAGAGACCAAATGACTTTGTTGCTCCACATTACTAATAATTATTGCTTTAAGAATCACATATATAGAGTTTTATACACCTTGATAAGCATACATAGTTTCCCTTAAAAGATGACAAAGAGAACTTACATCGTAGCCAGCGATAAGCAGTCCCACACCATAGGGTCTTCTTCCATACCTCTGTGTGGGAATTTGAGTTTCTGAGGGACTGGTTAAGGGTTACTTTGTCAACTGTCTAGAGGGCACAGCGCGCCATTTCCCAAACCTCACCGCTTAACTCACGAAAGTGTAATTTTTTACATTGACACATTGCATACATTTTTATTGGCGTATCAAACTTTCAAATGTATTGTTTGGGGTCCCGAAACAAGACAGGACTGTCCTAAACTCAGCAAAATGTTCATGCAAGGCAAACTGGGTACGGGCTTCTAGGGATAAAAAATCGAAAGCATGACAGAAAGAATACTGCTTCCGATGAGAGTGACGAGGCGCGAAGCTGGGAGAGGCCTGTCAAACACAAACCTTGAGTCCAGGCATTCCTGCCTCATGAAGTTACTGTTGAATAAGATAGAAGGGGAAAGAAGTGGTTATCTTGACACAAATTACAGTGGATATACATTACAAACAGACACATGGTTTTTCATACATTTTATTTCTACAACTGGACACCAAGGTGTGTGTGTGTGTGTGTGTGTGGTAGGTAGCCTAGCGGTTAAGAGCGTTGGGCCAGTAACCAAAAGGTAGCTGATTCAAAACCTTGAGCTGACTAGGTGAAAAATCTGTTGATGTGCCCTTGAGCAAGGCACTTAACCCTAATTGCTCCTGTAAGTCGCTCTGGATAAGAGAGTCTGCTAAATGACTAAAATGTAAAAAAAATATTAATGGTACCAGAGGAGCCTGGCATCTGCAGTCAGCCCGGCAATGGAGATGCCAATGTGTTCATCAACATGGAGGATCTTCTTCTGGTGAGCAGCCAGCTCTGACTGGGCTCTCTGTGGAGAAACACAAACACCAGCCCATTGACAGTCACTGCGAGTGGCTCACACCCGCGCGGGTCCAATGTGGCAGGTAAAAGACATACCGTTTTCCTGATGCCCCAGTGTAGCTCCTATGTAACTCTTGAAAAACAAAAGCTGTCAGTGTAGAATAGAACTGGGATATTAATGGGGAATACCTTGAGAGCAACCAGGACTGCATGGGTTCTGGACTTGAGGCCCACTGTAGCCGAACCTTGTTTTACCGCCTCCATGGCGTATTCGATCTGGTGAATGCGCCCCTGAAACACAAGTGCATTGATAACGTTACCTTATTTGGGAGACACTGCAGAGAACCTCATTCCCCAAATATTAAAATTATTCTAAATGTTAACACTCTAGGGAGTACCTGAGGAGGTTGCAAGCAATAACGACCTTATCATGGTCTAAAAACACCAAGACAGTCGTGAAGAGGGCCCGACAAAATCTATTTCCCCTCAGGTGACAAAAGATTTGGCATGGGTCCTCAGATCCTCAAAAAGTTCTACAGCGGCATCATCGAGAGCATCCTGACTGGTTGCATCACTGCCTGGTATGGAAACTGCTCGGCCTCCGACCGCAAGGCACTACAAAGGGTAGTGCGTCCGGCCCAGTACATCACTGGGGACAAGCTTCCTGCCATCCAGGACCTCCATACCAGGCGGTGTCAGAGGAAGGCCCTAAAAATTGCCAAAGACTCCAGCCACCCTAGTCATAGACTGTTCTCTCTGCTACCGCACGGCAAGCGGTACCGGAGCGCCAAGTCTAGGTCCAAAATGCTTCTTAACAGCTTCTACCCCCAAGCCATAAGACTCCTGAACAGCTAATCAAATGGCTAATCTCTGTTTATTATCTACGCATAGTCACTTTACCTCTACCCACATGTAAATATTACCTCAATTACCTCGACTATCCTGTGACCCTGCACATTGACTCTGTACTGGTACCCCCTGTATATAGCCTCACCACTGTTATTTTACTGCTGCTCTTTAATTATTAAAATTTTTTTTTTTTAAATTACTTATCTATTTTTTACTTAACACTTATTTTTCTTAAAACTGCATTGTTGGTTAAGGACTTGTAAGTAAGCATTTCACTGTAAGATCTACACCTGTTGTATTCGGCGAAAAAAAGTTCCTTACCTGAGGACTCCATACTGTGACATCGTTGTCGTACTGGTTACGGAACTACAGAGAAAAATAAGGCAGTAGTGTCAATATTTTCACTGTACATTTGTCTAGAAATACAAATGAAATGTTTTACTTACGTAGTTGTCTTGCATTGCGATGAGTTATCGACCAAAAAACTGTCGTGGGCTGCATCCCAACACAGAATGTGCTTTTCCTGCGTATTTTACTCTTTATATGTGCTTGCCACCCTAGACTCTTCTAGACTAAGGTATTGCATTGCTATACATAAATTATAGAACCAGCTAGAAAGCAACCTTGTGGCTTTGTTTACAGCCACCTGTCATAGGGGTGCACCTGAACCAGAATCTGCCCTTACAGGAAAAGTCGATATGGCTAATTTCCTTTAAACCCAGGAAGCAGCCATTCACCAGCTTTTCAAGCATAATAATGTCAAAATACGTTCATTACTCACCAAACTGAGTTTTGATTAGCAACTATCGTCATTTATTTCCATCACGGCCGGTATGTACTTCCAAAAAAGGTCTAAATAAAAAGTTACACGTAACCGAAAAAAAGGCATCTTCAGCACCTCCAATGTATTGAGCTGTTGTAGACTTCCGACCTGTGCATGGCAGTCAGGTTATGGCTCTCCGGGATCCTTGGGATGTGAGTGACTGAAGGTGCCGAATATGATTTTTTTTCGGTTGCTTGTAAATGCTTATTTAGACCTTTTTTGCAGTGGAGGAAAAAGTACCCAATTGTCATACTTGTGTAAAAGTAAAGATACCTTAATAGAAAATTACTCAAGTAAACATCACCCAGTAAAATACTACTTGAGTAAAAGTATTTGTAGTAAAGTAAGTATCAAAAGTAAAAGTATAAATCATTTCACATTCATTATATTAAGCAAACCAGACGGCACGATTTTCTTGTTTTTTAAATTTACGGCTAGCCAAGGGCACACTCCAACACTCAGACATCATCTACAAACGAAGCATTTGTGTTTAGTGAGTCTGCTAGATAAGAGGCAGTAGGGATGACATCCTGTCCTGCTAAGCATTCGAAATGTAACGAGTACTTTTGGGTGTCAGGGAAAATGTATGGAGTAAAAAGTACATTATTTTCTTTAGGAATGTAGTGGAGTAAAAGTAGTCAAAAATATAAAGAGTAAAGTACAGATAACCCAAAAAACTACTTAAGAAGTGCATACCAGTCGTGACGGCCGTAAATCACGATAGTTGCTAATCAAAACTCCATATTTGGTGAGTAACGAACATATTTTAACATTATTACATTTGAAACGCTGGTGAATGGCTGCTTCCTGGGCTTAAAGGAGATTCGCCATAACGTTTCCTGTAAAGCCAGATTCTGGTTCAGGGGTGCACCCATATAATTAGGAATTCGAATAGGACCTATATGGGTGCACTTTCATGACGTCAAACATGTTTGAAAGTTTCCGAGGTATGCCTGATAGCTTTGTTCAAGTAACAAAAGTAGCTGGTACCAAGCATTTGGAAGAAAGCATCTAGTTAGCTAGAAGTTTTCGATCTGCCTTTGCCTCCATAGGTAAGGTTGACTGCAAAGAACACTGGCATTCAGTAAAAGTGGGGTCACTTTTATGCCAGTCAAAAAACGAAAGTGAAACACTCAACATTTATTAGGCTAGCTAGCTAACACAGCTAGGTAGCTAGATAGATATCTAAATTAGCTACCAGTAGCTAACTAGTTAGTTAGGTCCTAGCTAGCTACAGAAAGGTTGGGTACTTTTTTATTTAATCTTATTGATACAGCTAGCTAGTTTGCCAATAAGGCAGTAGCTCGCTAACTCGTGCATAATTTTAAACTTCCATAGACGCTAACTGTTAAGTAGCTAGCTATGTTTTATGCTTACTCACAGTGCACTCGTTTCGTCTGTAGTGCTCATAGACTAGCTAGCTAGTTTACTATTTTAACGAGCGATAGCTAACTAGCATCCTTACTTATCAAACACCTTTGTCATTCAATTAATGCAATAATCTGTATTATTTAAGCAAATATTCAATCTTCAAACAAAATGCATGCTTTATGCACTCTTACCATCTCTCTTGCTGAACTGTGACTTGGTTTGATCTATTTTCCTAGATCTGTGACGTAAGGCAAAGCAGTAGATCTCAGAAGTCTGTCCAGTCGATGAAAATTCGAAATGTCATCCAAGATTGGAAACTTTACTCATTTTGACATGACCAAAGACAGCAATCTATGTCAAATGTACTTTTTAATGCCATGATTCCTGTCAATTCTGAAAATAAATTTAGATTTTTGATTAATGTAATAAAAAAATCCATTCAAGTTTATTTCAAATTCATGGTCCTCGGAGGTTGCAATAACTAGAATAAAATACTTGCAGTAATACAAGCAAACAACATTTTGTTATAACATTTCATTTTTTTTGCAATGACAGGCATAATTGCAGTGTGTCTAGATGAGCACTTTGAATGTCAACAACAACAATACACAATATCCTTCAGTAACCTGTTTTCTTTCTTCAGAAAGATTGTCACACACCGTAATTTTTTTTGTACAAACCACTCATGGTGTTTCAGACTCATCATAAAAAGTTGTCAGCGTTTAATGTCTCTTTCTAGAGAGACATTTCTATGCATTCATAAAGGTCTCCATCGACAGTCTCTCGCTCGCAGCTTCTCTCCCACTCTCTTTTTTTTATATTTCTCTCTTTCTCCCCCTCTCTCTCCATCTCACGCTCTCTCTTCTCTCTCCACCCACCCCCCTGTCTGTTTTTTTGGGTTGAAATGGCTGGACACTGAGAGATATCTGATGTACCCTTGATCCGGGGGGAGATGAATTAAAGGAGCTGTGCTGACGAGCCCTCCTCCCCTGCCAAGGCAGAGGCAGCGGTGGCCATTACGTCAGCGCGCCTCCTTTGTGATTGAGATTGTAGGAGCTGTGCTGAGCTCAGCAGGTTTCGCCAGGGCTTAATTTAACTCTGCCAAACGGCCCCCTTTTAATTTTTCAAATGGAAGAGTGGCCTGAGTCACTCTGTGACAGGTCCAAGCCACGCCGCTGGCCCTCAAGCGGGGAAGGAGGAGGGCGGAGGTGTTTAAAGGTGTAGCGGTATGGGTTGGGAAGACAAAAGTGACGTTGCTTACCCAGACCATGTCTTGGAGAAGAAATATGTCAGTGCATTGTCAACTGTGCTTAGCTATATCAATCAATGACACAACAGTGTGTGTTACCACAAATCCAGGCTATGCTTAACTATCAATCAATGGCAAAATAGTGTACGTGTTACCACAAACCCAAAAGAATTGTCACAATTTTTGGGGGGGAATATATGTTTTTGAAGCCCTAATGGGGTTCAGGCCTTTTGACCCTCGTTATTCTCATCACAGACAAAATCAAGCATTTTCATAACTTGAAGTTGTAGTTTGTTCTCCCAGCGACTCACTGGTGAGAGATGATGACGCATCAGCACCAGCGGTGTACCTGGATGTGCCTCCAGATATGGGATTACTTGAGTATCCGGAGTAATTATATCTAAATATGCCCCCATCTCGCACCCCTGTTGCTTAAAATAGGCCGGCGATGTGTTTAGCCTGGAAATCGACTGGACTAATGGGAGCGACAGGCAGCCGGTCTGCATTAAGCTGGCAGGTACCATGGAGTGGGTCAAGGGTCATCAGCCGCACACGGAAGGAACGGAAGGCCCCCCTCAATAGGTTTTATGAGAAGGTATGCATCTTAATTTACTTTTACATTTTCCACCAAATGCCAGGACACGCAGCAGCAGGTGTGGGGTGGTGGGGGAGTTGAGTCATCTTGCAGAATCTTGCCATCCGTTTCCTTGCGTTTTCCCAAAGAGCTTACACAGCATTTTGGCGATAAATGGCTGAAGAGGCTTTTTCTGTCTTAAACTGGAAAGAGCACATTGTGGAGCACTTACTAATATCAGAGCCAGATAGATTGCCGCTTCGCTCAGCCTTTGGATCTAATAATAGCAAGCCAATAAGTGGCAAACCTCATATGCTTTATACTGCACAACTGCCCCTTTGTGGTTCAGTGGTGATCTATAATTATTAATTTGAAGTAATCAATAGATTGTACTCGTACAAAGCCTAATTTAGATCAATGTAGATAATAGATAAACAGCCATGTTACTTGGCTCTCCCCTGA